ACCCATGTGCAGAATGAATTTTGTTATGTGCACCAACATGGAGGTGATGTGTGACACCTCACAAGTGGTGGGGTGGGGCTAAGTGGTTCAGAGTGTGGGAATGAGCTCAGGACTGGTGCAGAGGGTTGGGGCTCTGGGATGGGACTGTGAATGAGGGGTTTGGGATGCAGTGGGGCTCCCCGGGGCTACAGTGGGGAGAGAGGACTCCCCCCCCCCCACAGCTCTCTCTCCCCTCAGAAGCACCTGGGCTGGCGGGGGGAGAGGTGCCTCTCCCCCAGCCGCGGCAGGGCCAGGCTGGGTCAGGGCTGGGGGAGAGGTGTTTGTCCCCTGGCCGGGGCACATTCGGGGCCAGGCTGGATCAGAGCCAGGGAGGGATGTCGCAGCAGGTCCAGGACTTGGGGAGAGGCATCTCTCCCCGCCGCAGCCTTGAGCATCAGCACAGTGCTCAATAGGCAGCTGTGTAGCCGCACAGCTTAGAGGGACCTTAGACTATGACTCTTGCCCCTGTTAAAGTGAACAGTAACAGCAGGAAGCCACATATGGTTTCCCTGTTACCACAGAGAAATGATTCCAGGAGATGGAGCACAACCCTTTTCTTCTGCTGCCCGTGGGCTGCTGATGGGAGTATAACTGCTTCCCACACTCCATCTTCACTTCCTCCACCTGCCTCCCAACTGCTATATCCTGCTTGTGCATTGTGGGTTTGTTTTCCAGGTTTCATGTGGCATGGGATTTCTTTGTTTTTTAAAGTATGTCCAGCAGAGGGCAATGAACACTTCCTCCCTTCCCCTGCCCACCAATGCACTGAGAAATAGATTCAAAATGGCTACTTTTGAACTTCTTGTTTTGGGTTGCAATATCAACATTTTGAAATGAACCAGTTTTAAATTTTGTTCTCTTCAAATTGAAAACGACAAAAATGTCCACTTGACAGTTTTTTATTTTGGAAACTGTGTGAAATTTTGTTTTGTGGAAAATATTAATATTTCACTCCATTTCAGGATGAAAATGGTTGTCCCGGTTTTTTTTCTTCTTGAAATTGATATTCTATTTATTTTTGTACTAGGTCTACTTTGAATTGAACCCCCAAACAGCTACACTTGTGGAAGTGCTGGTTACCTCTATTCAACATGCGGTAAGAGGCACAAATACATGTATGCCTTGTAAAACTATTGTTGTTGTGTGACTCTGGCTTAGCAGTTGGGCTAGGGGGTGGTTTTCTACCATAGCAAGAATGACATTCCCAACCATGACACTCCTGTCCGCCCAAACGCCACCCGCAACCCTCCGAAAAATAAAAACCTGAGACAAACCAACTAGCCACTAAAAAACAACGACCACCACCCGAGTTTTTGATTTTATTTTATTTTTGAAAAGGGAGAAATGCTAGAAACTCCATGAAGTCCATTTAGGGATTTGGCTATTGCTACAATTTTAGATGGAAGGTGCTCATACACTATGGTATTGGACAGCAGTATAAGACCCTAAGATACTATTATTTCTGAACTGGTGCTAGTTTGTGTGCATGTATTTTTTGGGTCATGTTGGCTAAAGGTTTGGTTTAGGATACATCTTGTTGTCTATATTAAAATGTGCAATATGGCACCATGTAAATAAGGTTTTCACTGTATTACAGTGGACTATCTTAAAGAAGGAATAATCATTATATGAGCTGATCATATGGCTTAACAGGGTGACTGTTATATCTGTTAAGTTTTACTTTTTCAGTATGAACTGTGGGGACAATTCAATTTATTGAAGCAATTGTTTAAGCCATTTAATGTTGTAGTAGATTTAACTTGATATGCTATTTGCTTTTGTTCTTAATGAATCTTTGATTGGCTTATGCTGAGTTCACGATCTCACCTCCATGTTTTACTATCCAGAAAAAAAAAAAAGAGGAAGGGTTTCATTTTAAAAGGTCAAAATGATAAACAAATTTAAAAGGGTCAATGCACTTCAGAGTGCAAAGCAATATCCGATCATGGAAGGAACCCCTTAATCCTAATTCGCTACCTCACATAAAGGTGTCAGTCCTTCTTAGGCTTTACTGATCTTAACAAAGCAAGACAAGAGGTAACTTATGAGACCAGTCTCTGGTGTTACAGACTCCTTTCCTTTCTAACAGAGTACTTTGGTGTGTCACAATGTATAAACAGCCCTTACAGAGCAATAGAACACAATCACTTCTCATGCTATATGCACAGCAAAGTCAATTAGAAGTGACGAGTCTATTTTATAGATTTAATTTGGTGAGGGCTTTTTTTCCCCCTGTATTCTGAGAGGCACCCACTCTTCCCTGAAAGGCACAACTTTACTGTCAGAAAACTGAAGAGTACTGGTGCTAATGAACTGTAGCTTTGCTTTTTGCTGCAGCTTGAGGGATCCAGTCCGGCAAACCACTTCTCACAATGAGCACTCACCACTGAGGTCAATAACAAGCCATGTGAAGAAAGGTTTTTAGAATTGATCCAGAAGGGCACGTGTGTATTTATTTCACTAAATAGATACAAAGCTTATTCAAACCAAGAGTTTCAAGTCCTGTGTGTTTAACTGACTTTGACAAAAGTTCCGTTAACTTGAGTTTCATTGAAATATTTTTTTGACCTATAAATGAATTCAATGCAGTTTTCAAGGTAGATTCCATTAAAAATGCATGTCTTTCTATCAGAGGAGGTCTTTGTTGAGCAAACTTTGAAAGCTAACTGTATATGCAGCTGCTGTTTGTTAAGGAAAAGTTAGCACATGTGACTCCATTTTGGTTTGGGGCCCACCATTGTTTAAATGCCAGCACATCATACACCAGGAGGAGTGATCCTTCCGTACTGAATCCCTGTGAAAATCCTCCTCCTTGTCTCCAGCCTGCCTTGACTCCCAGTATCTGGTTTTTGTCAGTCTCTAACTCCCTGTCTTTTGGCCTTGATGTGAGGCCTCCCATCCTGATAATAAAAGTTACTGATGCATGGCTTTAGGGTTCATGCTGTGTAATTAACATACTGGTATAGCACAAGGAATGCAGCAAGCAGGGATAGGTGGTAGATAAGACAAGGGTTTGTTTATTGGCTAAGGTTTCCAATGCACGAGGGCAACATGCTTTGCTAAAAAGTATATAACCTTTGTATAATCTGTATTCAGGATCCCCTCCTGGCTGCAGGGGGGCACCACGCTCGACCGTAATAAACTTAGTGTCTTTTGGGAACTCTGCAGTTGTGGACTTTGTTTCTGTGCCTCAGCCTAGATTCGAACTGTGCATGACCTATCAGGTATAATTCGTAGCATTTGTGTGCGTGTCCTACCAGGTGTAATCCGTAGCATTTATGTGTGTGTCCTACAAGGTATAATTCGCAGCAGTTGTGTGCATGTCCTCTCAGGTGTAATTCGTAACAGTTTTGGTGACCACGAAGGACTCTAGGCTCGCCCCAACAAGCGAGACTACACTCCTCCTCTCGAACAGCTCCAGCTGGCACAGGGTGAGTTCACCTTTGAGAACTCCGGGGTAGGGGGTGGTGTGAGCCGTCACTTAGGCGATAAGGTGGCACATTTTCTGTCCTTTTGGTAGCCCATTATGGGTTCTGGGCAGAGTGTAAGTAAGGGGACCCCTTTGGCTGAAATTCTCAAGAATTGGGGGAATATTTCTGGCACCCATGGGTTAGGTAGGAAGAAAGCTGTTATTTTATGTAAGGTTGAGTGGCCAGCACTAACAACTCAAACATCTATTGAATGGCCACCGGATGGGTCCTTTGCTGGGGATACACTAACAGCGCTTAGGAGGAGGCTGGAGGACAAAGCTCCAGCCCAGATGGATTATTGGTATGTATGGGACAACAGGGCTTATGCGCGTGCGAAAGGACATCCTCTTTCCTCCTCCTTTTCCTATCTATCTCAGGGGTCTTCAGCCCCGCTCTGTGCTATGCCTGTTTCTTCTCCTCCCTGGCCTGCTTCTGCCCCTCCCCCGGCTTACCCTCGTGTCAAGGTTCCTCCCCCACTCTGAACTCTAGGGTACAGATGTGGGGACCTGCATGAAAAGCCTCCTAAGCTTATCTTTACCAGCTTAGGTCAAAACTTCCCCAAGGTACAAAATATTCTACCCTTTGTCCTTGGGTTGGCCGCTACCACCACCAAACTAATACTGGTTACTGGGGAAGAGCTGTTTGGACACGTCTTTCCCCCCAAAATACTTCCCAAAACCTTGCACCCCACTTCCTGGACAAGGTTTGGAAAAAGCCTCACCAATTTGCCTAGGTGACTACAGACCCAGACCCTTGGATCTTAAGAACAATGAACAATCCTCCCAACACTTGCACCCCCCCCTTTCCTGGGAGATGTTGGATAAAAAGCCTCACCAATTTGCATAGGTGACCACAGACCCAAACCCTTGGATCTTAAGAACAATGAACAATCCTCCCAACACTTGCACCCCCCCTTTCCTGGGAAATGTTGGATAAAAAGCCTCACCAATTTGCATAGGTGACCACAGACCCAAACCCTTGGATCTGAGAACAATGAAAAAGCATTCAGTTTTCTTACAAGAAGACTTTTAATAAAAATAGAAGTAAATAGAAATAAAGAAATCCCCCCTGTAAAATCAGGATGGTGGATACCTTACAGGGTAATTAGATTCAAAACATAGAGAACCCCTCTAGGCAAAACCTTAAGTTACAAAAAAGATACACAGACAGAAATAGTTATTCTATTCAGCACAGTTCTTTTCTCAGTCATTTAAAGAAATCATAATCTAACACATACCTAGTTAGATTACTTACTAAAAGTTCTAAGACTCCATTCCTGGTCTATTCCCTACAAAGGCAGACTATAGACAGACACACAGACCCTTTGTTTCTCTCCCTCCTCCCAGCTTTTGAAAGTATCTTGTCTCCTCATTGGTCATTTTGGTCAGGTGCCAGCAAGGTTACCTTTAGCTTCTTAACCCTTTACAGGTGAGAGGAGATTTCCCCTGGCCAGGAGGGATTTCAAAGGGGTTTACCCTTCCCTTTATAGTTATGACACCTCGGCTTCCTGACTTATGCCTATCATCTCCTTGCTGTCCACCCCCCTGCCCGTTCGGGCCCACCATTGACCCACCGGTTACTCTGCAAGCTCCCCTCATTCAGCAACCCCTTGTTACTCATAGTACGGACGGGAGTGAACGGCTAGCCTTCCCCTACGTTCACCGCCCCTTTGGCCCAGGCGATTTAGTAACATGGCAACAGCAGATGCCTCTCCTGCGTGACGATCCAGAGAAGGTTCTGCAAACCATTCGGTCTGTATTTACCGCATTTAATCCTACATGGGGAGATGTACAGGTAATCCTGGACACACCTTTTACCCCTGACGAGAAATATTCCATTCTGGATGCTAATAGGCGCTGGGCAGGGGAGGATAGTACCTGGGTTTCTTGGCCCCTGACTGATCCCAATTGGAATCCTAATGTGCTTACTCAAATGGGCCTTTTAAAGGTGGGTAGAAACAGCCTTTTAGAAGCTATATGCAAAGCTGGTAGTAAAACGGCTAACTGGTCTAAAATCCGCGAATGTCAGCAAGAACTTACCGAGCACCCCTCCGCCTTTTTGGCCCGGTTGTCCAAACAAGTTTGTGTATATGGGAGCGGTATAAACCCTGAGGCAGAGGAAAACCGTCCTATGATGGTCTCCTTTTAAGTTGATCAGGCAGCATCAGATATAAAAAAATATTTTTCTAAGCATGTGCCCGATTGGCCAGGAAAATCCCTCCAGGAGGTAGTCCGCCTGGCCACCTTTGTGTTTAACGGCAGGGACGAGGAGAAAGCACGGGAAAAACGTAAACAGAAGAAGGAGGAGGTAAGTATGTTAGCTGCTGCCTTGCAGGCTCCTTCGGGAAACCAGCATTGGCAAGGGCGCGGAGAAATGAAGGGAAGGGGGCATGGATGGGGGACAGGAGGAGGGGGAGGTTGGGGTAAAATGAGGGACGGAAATTGTAATTATTGTAAGCAACCAGGGCACTGGAGGAGGGAGTGTCCCCTGCTTCCCCGAGGGGCTCCTTGGAAGAGCCAGGTAGGGGCTAATCCTTCTTTTCCCCCTGACGCCCTCCAGAACCTTGTTAACCCCCAGTGACTAGAGGCGGAGGTTCTGGGGACTTTGGGAGAGTTGGAATGGGACTTGGGGTTACAGTCACAAATTTATTTGAAAGTTGGGGAACACCTTGTGCCTTTTCTAGTAGATACTGGGGCCACCCTTTCCACTTTAACTTTTGTTCCGGGCTCTCTGTCTGATATCAAGGTTTGGGTGCAGGGTATAGAAGGCAATCCCTGCCCGGCTCCTTTATCCTACCCTGTCCCTATCGAGCTTGGTTCTTTGAAGCTATCACATAGGTTTGTTGTAATGCCGGAGGGCCCCGTGAACCTCCTTGGGCGGGATGTGCTGGGCAAATTGGGGGCACACATATATTGCGCCCCCAAGGGGCTCCGCATTTCCGTTCCGGACTCGGCGGTTGCTTCTCTTATGGCATCAGTTACCCCTATTCCTGGTGTGCCCTCTGGATTGTCCAGTGTTCCCCACACTTTGTGGAGCACAAATCCTACTGATGTGGGTCTTCTTAAATCAGCAATTCCAGTGAGTCTGTAAACAAGGGGCAGACCGCCTCCTTCCGTAAAACAATACCCCTTGCCGAGGGAGGCGGAAGAAGGCATCTCACTTCTTATTGACAGCTATTTGACTCAGGGGGTTTTAGTCCCCTGCAGTTCGCCCTGTAATACTCCCATTCTTCCAGTAAGGAAGCCTAAACCGGGACCAGACGGGCGTCCAGTCTATCGATTTGTTCAGGATCTATGGGCTATAAATGGTTATGTTATAGCCCCCCATCCAGTTGTCCCTGATCCGAGCACTATTCTAACACTGATTCCTCAGTCAGCCACTTGCTTTACTGTCATAGATTTGTGTGCAGCATTTTTCAGTATCCCTTTGCACCCTGATTCTCAATATTTATTCGCATTTACCTGGAAGGATCAGCAGCTAACATGGACGCGTCTTCCCCAGGGGTTCTCAGGATCCCCCACTATTTTTTCCCGGATTCTCACCGAGGATTTAAAAGACATTGTCTTGCCTAGTTCGTCTGTCCTGGTTCAGTATGTGGATGATTTGTTAATTGTTTCCTCAGATCATAACGCATGTTTAATTGACTCTGTTGTTTTGCTTACTGCATTAGCTAATAAGGGTCATCGTGCATCTCCATCCAAGTTGCAGCTGTGCCTAGATCAGATAATTTATTTGGGCTTTGTAATTAGGCCTGGGGAGCATTTACTCTCCCATGATAGGGTGCGGGCAATCCAGGATTATCCGCGTCCAACTACCAAAAAGCAGTTACAGGCTTTCCTGGGGGCTGCAGGGTTCTGCCAACCCTGGGCCGTGGCTTTCGGGGAATTGATGAAACTGTTAGTTTGAGCTACTACAACACTGACCCTCGATCCTGTCTCCTGGACCCCGGAAATGGAAGATGCTTTTAAATCCATCAAAAAGGCTCTGATCTCTGCGCCTGCCTTGGGATTCCCGGATTATGGTAAACCATTTTCTCTTTTCACTCACGAACGGCAGGGGGTGGCTAGCGGCGTCCTTTTGCAATACCTGGGGGATCGCCCACGCCCCGTAGCATATTACTCAGTACAACTGGACCCTGTTATTCAGGGCTCCGTCTCCTGTGTACGGCCTGTTGCTGCTGCTGCTGTCATGGTTGAACGGTCACGACCTATTGTTTTGGGGCACCCTCTGACTGTCTGGGTCCCTCATGAGGTTGAAATTCTCTTAAAACAGCATTCTACACAGGCATTGTCTCCACAGCGGGCTCACAAATATGAACTAATCCTGTTGGCCGCTGACAACGTTACTTTACGCCGCTGTAACGTCCTCAATCCAGCCACAATGCTACCCCTCCCAGAGGACAGTACCCCTCACCATGTATGCATGGATGTCGTCGCGCAAGATGGCAAGCCCCACCCGGATTTAGCGGACTCCCCTTTAGTTGAGCCTGATTTACTTCTTTTCACAGATGGGTCCTCATACTATTTAGATGGCCACTGGGTCTCGGGCTATTCGGTTACCTCTCAGGCAGATGTTATCGAGGCTGCCCCCTTACCACCTTCCTTCAGCGCCCAGGGTGCAGAATTACATGCACTTACCAGGGCTTGTTTATTGTCTTCAGGGAAAACTGTTACCATCTATACGGACTCTAAGTATGCTTTTGGGGTTTGTCACGCTACAGGCCAGCTCTGGAAGCAATGAGGATTTTTAACCTCCTCAGGCACAAAAATCGCTAATGGCCCTCTAATCTCTGCCCTTTTGGAAGCTATTCAGGCCCCTCGTCAGGTGGCAGTGGTTCATTGTTATGCGCACAGGCAGTCTAACAGTTTTGTATCTCAGGGCAATGCATTAGCTGATTCAGCCGCAAAGGCTGCAGCTCTACAGCCCCTTCTGGTTTCGGCTTCCCTCCCCCTGGATGTGTCCTTCCCACCTGCTAACTGGACACTGCTGTATGCTAACGTACCCTTGGAGAAGCTGCACAACTGGAAACGCTGGGAGGGATCTGAGGGCTCCGATAAGGTTTGGCAAATCGGGAACAAACCTATTCTCCCCCACCATTATTTACTCGCAGCTGCTCATTATTTTCATTCCCTGGGTCACGCTGGTATTCAGGGCACGGTGGCTGCCATACTAAAGTTTTGGGCAGCACTGCATGTTTATCCCACGGTAAAGCGAGTTCTTGGCTCCTGCCCTACTTGCCTGGCCTTCTCTGCTAAGACTCGGCTCGATGCCAACTCAAAGGGGGGAGACCCTGGGCAAACTTCCCATTTCAGCGCTTGCAGATGGACTACGCAGAAATGCCTAAATGCTCAGGGTTTCACCACCTCCTTGTTATAGTGGACCAACTTTCCGGATGGCCTGAAGCAATACCAACCAGAAAGGCAGATGCAAGATCTGTGGTCAAGTTCTTAATGAAAGACGTTGTACCCAGGTTTGGTGTCTCTGAAGTCATTGATTCAGATCGGGGCTCACACTTTACCGCAAAGATTTTGGAGGAACTGTACCGGTGCTTGGGGATTATCCGACAATTACACACCCCATACCACCCCCAGTCTGCAGGTCAGGTGGAACGCATGAACCGAACAATAAAGACAATGGTAGCAAAGTTTTGTAAGGAGACTGGACTTAAGTGGCCAGAGGCCTTGCCTATAGTTTTATGGCATATAAGATGAATGCCACGCATGCCCCTAGGCCTGTCCCCATTTGAGGTGCTGTTTGGGAGACCAGCTTTAGTCCCGGGAACTTATGTTCCTGTACGTGCTAGCCTCTTGGATGGAGATGAAACTTTGGCCAGATATGTTGCTAGACTACAAAAGGAGCTGACTGACAACCGGTCTGAAGCTCAGTTGTTTCAAACTGCACTCTTAGGGTTACAGGTTCATTCCTTTAAGCCAGGGGATTGGGTAATGGTAAAAAAGATCCCCCACACCGACCCCCTGGAACCCCGGTGGGAGGGGCCGTACCAGGTTCTGTTATGTACTTATTCTGCTTTAAAAGTTGCCGGTAAAGGTTCCTGGATTCACCATAGCTACGTCAAGTTGGCGACGGGACCCCCACCTGACCCTGGCGAGCCAGCAGATGAGCCACTTCACGAATGAACACTACAACCAACCCATGGACTGAGCTTTCCAGCTACTGGGACCTTCACAGCCCACCAGGACTTTTTGTGTTCCTGTTTATTGGACTTACACTGGGGGTAGTGTTTTTTGTATGGTACAGGGGAGGATGTCGACATTGGTGTGGTTTGCCTGGGGGGTCCTCTCCCTATTCCCAAGTCCAGTACAAGGATGGGAGGGCAATAGCTTCTTGAATTTAACCTGTGCTATCAAACAGGGTGTAAATTGAATGCAGTGTTGGATTTGTATTCATACCCCCACATATTTAGGTCAGGGGGTACCGTTGGTAGGGGTACCTATCCCCCTTAATCGAACACTCCAAGCTAAGCTATGGGCAAACACTACATTTAACTGGAATGTTACAATCCAAATATGGTCTATTGATATGGTGGCCCAGGGTAATTATGCTTTATGTGTGTCACGACGTAAGGGCATAGAAAATACAGTTTTTGTAGGGAATTTTGCGGGGTGCAAGGACACCACCCAAATCAGCTCTGGTGCGGGAGGCCCCTCTATCTACTCCAGAACCCCGTGGCCAGTCCCCGAGGGGTCTGGCTGGTATTGATTATGCAATCACACAGCCTATAAGGTTCTCCCAGCAGGATGGTGTGGTACATGTACCTTAGGGGCTATAGTACTCGCCGTGACAGTACACCAGAACCTGACCCGGGGAGAGATCCGCAATCTAGTATGGAGGGACCAACGAAGTATTCCTTTAAACCCCCTTTCTCAACGGCCCAAAGGCTTTCATTCCTTTGTGCGTTGGTTTCTGCCATGGTTGGGAGTAAGCGAGCTGGAAAAAGCTATAGTTAATATTTCAGCTGCTTTGGAACTAATGGCAAATGCTACTGCAGATGCTCTATCTGCCCTTCAAATTGAAGTCACCCAGCTATCCCAAACTACATTGCAAAACCACCTAGCCCTGGATTATCTCCTTGCAAATCAGGGCGGGGTTTGTGCTCTGGTCAACTCAAGCTGTTGTGTATTTGTAAATCAGCACCATAGGGTGGAAACTGACATCCACATCCTCAAGTAACAGGCAGCCCTATTCCACCACATCAGCCTCGACACTACCAACGCTGGATTCCAGGAGGTCTGGGACTGGCTCACCTCATGGCTACCGGATGTGGGGACTTGGGGACGGCGTATTTTGTATTTACATTTTTGACTGTTATTGTTTTTGCGTTATTTTTTGTATGCCTACAATGCTGCAGTATGTGCTGTCGGCAGTTGCTAACCCTGCAGCGCGGTTACTCAGCCCCAATATAGCTTACTGACGTACAAAAAGAAAGGGAGGACTGTTAAGGAAAAGTTAGCACATGTGACTCCATTTTGGTTTGGGGCCCACCATTGTTTAAATGCCAGCACATCGTACACCAGGAGGAGTGATCCTTCCATACTGAATCCCTGTGAAAATCCTCCTCCTCCTGTCTCCAGCCTGCCTTGACTCCCAGTATCTGGTTTTTGTCAGTCTCTAACTCCCTGTCTTTTGGCCTTGATGTGAGGCCTCCCATCCTGATAATAAAAGTTACTGATGCATGGCTTTAGGACCATGCTGTGTAATTAACATACTGGTATAGCACAAGGAATGCAGCAAGCAGGGATAGGTGGTAGATAAGACAAGGGTTTGTTTATTGGCTAAGGTTTCCGAAGCACGAGGGCAACATGCTTTGCTAAAAAGTATATAACCTTTGTATAATCTGTATTCAGGATCCCCTCCTGGCTAGCAGGGGGGGACCACGCTCGACCGTAATAAACTTAGTGACTTTTGGGAACTCTGCAGTTGTGGACTTTGTTTCTGTGCCTCAGCCTAGATTTGAACTGTGCGTGACCTATCAGGTACAATTCGTAGCATTGGTGTGCGTGTCCTACAAGGTATAATTCGCAGCAGTTGTGTGCGTATTCTCTCAGGTGTAATTCGTAACATGTTCTAACCAGAACCATAAACAAGCCACGGCTAGTTACCAGTTTCCTTATGGATAAGGTAGCTTCTGGAGTGCAGAGGAAATGTATGTGCGACGGATAGTAAATTAACGGGACTGGTAGCTTTTTACTAGTCACACTACGTCTTGACTTCAGTGGGCCTGTTCATGTACAGAAGTCCTCCCTTAAGGATGGGTTAATAAAGTAACCCACTGCTTAAAAAGAAAAAAATATATAGGACTATTGCTTGGTAACCCAACCCACCACACCAGCCATGGGCTTGGCTCTGTGTTAGCCTAATTTAATGCACTTTTCCGGTTGGAAGCAGGGTGGCCTAGGTTGAAATGTAGTACTTTCTTAGTGAGATAGGCTCTCAGGGAAGAAGTCTCTGCCTCACATCTTCTCAAGAGGTAACATGGGAAAGTTCCCCTTGTAAGCACTCCACAAGGCAGTTTGTAATTATACCAAGGATGGGTCAGACAATGCTGCTAAACCTTCAGCTGCAGAGGGCCCAGGCCATTGGTGTTGACATCATTGTGGCTCAGTGTGGGTGCAGGGGTACATCCACACAGAACAGTTTCCATGATTGAGATCTCAATGGGTCATAACAATACTCTTCACCCTCTCTCTTCTTCTCTCGTACTGTTTGTCATGCTCACTTGTTTGTCTTTTCTGAAACTAGATTTTAAGCTTGTCAAGCTGGGACAGCGTTTTCCTATTTATATGTACAGCCTAAAGCATAATCATGGCATCTGAGCACTGCTGGATTATATAAATAAATTAGCAATAATGATTAAGGCTTTCCTTCCACACCCAATGCCCCACCCCCCACGACCAACAACAACTTTATGAACAGTCCTACTCCTGCTTGTTGTTGGCAACAGTATCAGAGCGTGCATTTAATGGAAGACCCCCTCCACAAGCAGTATCATTGCAAATAGTCCCCTCATAGAGAGATTAAGTGCACGGCTTGGCAGCTGGCAGGGCAGAACAGCAGGTGGCAAAGCCTGTGTGCTGTTTGTCTAAGAGAGGGACGCAGTCTGTGGCTACCCACTCAACAACTGTGGTGGAACAAACGATGCATCCCCTTGTCAACAGAGCAAATGCATCATTTGGAAAAAGCTGCTGTCTGTGGAAATGGATGTGCTGGTTTTTAAGCAGCACCCATGCACAGCTTGTTTCCTTCTTTTTCCCTGTTCATTAAGATGTATTAACATAATCAAAGTACTATAAAACTAACGTGTTACTTGGAGGCAGCTGTGCAACACCTGGCAGGATGAATGCATGTGCTGTTTGTCTAAGAGAGGGACAGTGAGACGTAATCATGCTAACACATCCAACACCTCCAAGCACTGACAGCATAAATAACAGGATCCTTATCAATGGGGCAAATGTATCAGTTGGTAGCAGTGGAAGTGTGCGCTGGGCATTTGTATGTTGCAAAGATGTTAGCAATGAATCATTGTAAGAATAGATTTTTCCCACTCTGCTATCTACAGGCACCTTCTCCTAAATATGTCTGCTTTGTTTTGCGGTGTTTAGGTTTAGGATTTTTCTCCCCTTCGGTCTCCTAAACTGCAGCGTATAATGTGTTTTTGTTGTCTGTTTTGCAAAATGATTCCATCTCCAAGAAGAGCTTCTAATATTCCACACAGTTGTTTT